AATTATAAATAATTATTATTATTAATTATTACATATTAATTATTAACTATATTAAAACAATAAATTCAAACACTTGGAAGCGTTGGTATATGCTCTAAAATTAAAAATATTATAGGTTTTTTTTTTTAAATATATATATTGATTCTTTATAGACAATCAAAATAAGGAATTGAATTCATTAGAAGGCTTATTCTATCTCTCTTGGAAGTTATAGAAGACACAATGTCGCCACTCGGACTCCAACCGAGATGCTCTAGCACTGATTCCTAAGAGGAGCATGTCTAGTGTCTACCACTACAACCATTGTCTAATGCTCTTCACCGTTGTATGTCAAAATTCAATTGATTGGAGGATAATGATAGTTAAAATCAAAATTTAGAACTGAATTTTAGAATGAATTTATGATAATTATTGATTATGGTATATGTTTTATATAGACTTATATAATCAATGTTAAAATAATTTCATTCCAAAAATTTTATCTTATGAATTTGATCCTTAGAATCATTAGTGTTTCGAATATGAACTTATATATATATATATATAGGGTATGATATATTTTTCTCTTGGTAGATTTGATGATGGTTTATATCAAAAGAATAATCCTCCTCTCCCTTTCATTATATTTTGAAGTTAGAATATTAAATCTTTAATTTATTATTGTCTTAAATTCTTATCAATTGAAATACTTTTTGGAAATATGTATATATTTTTTATGAACACATTCTTAAAATATTAAAAGCTTAGTTTAACCACTAATTTTATTAAATCTTATGAACCAAAAATATATAACATTTACAACAAGATATTAGATTGGTTATATTGGTCAACCAATAGAACATGAGTAGCTAGGAGTGTATATCTTATATATATTCTCCATCCATTTGATTTTAATAGTCTTAATTTAATTATTTGACTTTTTATACATAAATTTTAAATTAAAATTTAACATATATATAAATGATAATTAAATTTTTTTAACCAAATAAAAATATTCAATATAAAATTTATATTTAAAAAATAAAAAAAATAAAAAAAGTCAAAATATAAATACTAAAATTGAATAAAATGAGTATATATACATATAAAGTAGATGTATATATCTAAATTTTGTTTCAATATTTCTATCTTCATATATGATGAGTTGGTTGTAGGATATATTTTCCAACATAACAACTAGTATCAAATACATATAAAAAAGTATCAAATATAAAAATTTTAAGACTAAATAATAAGAATAAGTTAATTACAGTAATCCCTCTCACAAAAAAGAATAAATAATAATACCAACTCCCTTCATAAGTAATTGACATCCTTCTAGAAGCTGTTCCAAAGCCACCTCAAACAAAAATTTCCTACCGATAATGACAATAAAAACAATTTCCATTCGCTTTGCAATTGCATGCGTGTATTTGCTTTGCTTCAAGTTAAGTCATCAGCTTT